CAAAGTGCACCTATATAGTAAGTGGAGCTGATAAAATGGACAACAAGGAGGTGGTCATAATGTTACGCAGAAGTGGCCAAGGGCCGAGGGGTGGTTGGGTGGTGGTGGTGGGGGCGGGGGGCCGGGGGTGGCGGTCTGCAGGGTGTGAGGGCTGTTATGGGGGAGAGCAATGAGAGCAATGGATAGAAGGAAGAAAAGCTAGTAAAATTTTAATGCACTCCACAGAGCGGTCATGTCATACTTGGTTATGGAAAATAATCCCAGATGTCTGCAGTGGCTGAAATGGAGCTGTTATGCACTCGCCTCCTAACCCCGTTTGACAGGCGTGATGTATGACTACCATTACCGGAAAATATCACTTCAACTAACCCATGATCCGACTCCGCTCAGGGTCATATTATCCACGAGGAACAAATTACACCCACCCCCTCTCCTCATGCACTCAGACCCCAAAGTAAATACAAATTTCCTACACGGCCGGCTACAAATGTAGGGTGATACGTTAGCTATGACAATGCTCTGCTGACTGACATAGATGATAAAGTACGTGACAAATCACAGGCTGGCGGCTCACTCCGGAGCAATCAGCCTGTGTCTTGGCCTCGCCGGCATCCGCTCAGGCCTGTAAACATCACCCAGCTCCCCCCCGCCCACATGCTAGAAAAGGATGGGAGAAGCACATCATCGTTTATCGCTGTCAGCCCCCCCACCCCGTGTGCCTCCAAGCGTGGAAGTGCGGAAGGGAGATAAAAACATTTTTATGTACAAGTGCTCTGACGGAATGATTGAGAAATGCGCCTCTCCTCTTTTAATTGCCTCAGGGCAAACACTGCCAGAAAAAGAACGGGCAGAAGAGGGGGGAAAAAAGAAAATGAGATAGAAAAAGAAAGCAGAAGTGGAACATCTCACTAAATATATTAATGGGAAAGTTCTTTATTTTGTATCAAGGACAAATGCTCTTGCCCCAGTGCTAAAGCACCATTTAAAGCATGGCCTCACAGAAAATGAGAGAGGCAAATTACAGCACTTTATCATGTGCTGTCATTAATAAAAAAGCTAACTGCTTTCAAATGGCATCATCTGCCGCTGGCTTCCAAGACAGGAGGAATAAATATGCAACAGCAAGTGTATGGCCTGGATGAAAGTGGGCAAGGAGAACTAAGACTTCCATGAAAGATCTGTTCGCTCATTAACAGTAGTGTAAAAGCCTATCATCTGGATCAAAATGCTAATGGGCATTATTTCATGCTACAAAATGGCTTTTCAGAAGTACTTACCCATATTAGCTGTCACCTTCAGATGCCCCTCTTGTCTGTGACTGGTAATGGAAAGATAATTAATCAAGGCCACAGCAATGTTTTTCAATGCACAGGACCCTGGTCCATAATTGAGCTTTCAGTATGTAGCCTAACAAATTGAGTGTTAAAGTGTACTGCACTTAGCAAAGGAGAGATTAGGATACAACACATATGTGATGAGTTAGATGGATTACTTAAGTGTAATGGTGCAGAACATACAAAAGATTTTTTGCATTATTTTAGCTTCACTGTTGATTTGATTTTATACTGACTGCAGCCTCTACATATTCAGGTTTTTTTTCTCCTTCAGATAGTTATTACACCATGCTTCAGGATCATACCATTGTGCACCACAATTTCATTCTCATACATGACATAAATTACCGTCGTTTGCACTACCACACACACACATGTACACTGCTTGCCCCTACATAATCTGTATTTTGATTGTACATTGTGTATTGTCTGTAAATAATATGTACATTGTCTGTATATGACTTGTACACATATGGTCTGCATATTGCTTGCAAACTGTGTATACGGTGTATATTGTACACTGTGTACTGTTTGCAAATTATTTGTACATTGTTTGTATACTGCATGTAATAGCAGAGAAACACCAAGAGCTGGAACCAAATTCCCTGTCTGGATCAACATACTTGGTCAATAAATCTGATTCTGATTTACTTTAGAGTCACCTTGAAATCATAACTAACCTTTTTTCCCTTATTAGTCCCTGTTAATATTAAGCAAGATTCATTATACCACACCAAATTGATTTTAACTTCATTAGGTCTTAAAAGCTATCAGCTGCAAACCTCTTGAATCCACAAGGCAACAGAATATGAAAAGGTTTCACCAGCTCTCTGCAGCTCTCCCTCCATCCCTACCTCTCTCTCTCTGTTTCCCCCTCCACCTGTCAGGCTGTCTCGCTATAATAATCTCTCTCAAGCTGTTTCTAATGAGCAGACAGGGCTGTACCTGCACTGTCTAGAAGGCTCACTTGTTCCATATACATCAGTGTCACAGAATAAAACTAAATGAATGAGAGAGAGAACAAACTGGACAGAGACAGAAAGGCAGAGTCAGCATGGTGATGGTGAAGGCCAGCCTCAATGGCCAAGGCCAGCCAAATGCTTTTCAGAGCATTTCTGGGCTCTGCTTGGGCTTCGTGATGCCAATTCATCTAGCAGCAGGAGAGAAAGGAGTCTGTACCCAGGCTGTGAGTTTGAGCCAAGGAGCCTGGGCCCTCGCCCAGTTGGAAACAAGCAGGCTGCATTATGAATAGTGTTCAGACTGTACTATTTAATAAATCACAGGTCCACTTCAGCTAACACAAATGAGATGTCAAGAGCCTTTAAGCATCCTCACAGTCTATACACATATTTGCAGACATGCACATGCCAATACATGACAATTTGGAGATATTAAATTCTTTGCAAACAACTGCAAATTAAAAAGGATATATATATATATATATATATAATGTAATTTGTAAGAGATATGGGAATAAGCAGTGCCTTCTATCACTCCCATAGTGAGAGGAAAGGTATAAATACGTTAAGGCTCAACAACGCAGTTCACAAAAAGCACAATGCGCTCAGTCATATAATTTCACTTAGTTTAGCCAAACAAAGGTTATTCACCAATGCAGCTTGAACCCTGCCTGAAACATCACATTTGCTTGGCGAGAGTCAGGCTTCTGTGTACAAGAGTAAACAGTGTGCACAGATCCATACTGCTTCTGCAGTAGTTTGACCCACAGAAATATGTGCGCCTATAGCAGAGCTAGCCAACTACACAGTTAAAAGTACAGGCAGCTGATAACTTGTTACTTCCAAAGATTCCACCATTGCTCAGGCTAAACGGGCCGTGTCCATGGAATCAAACTGGCGCATTTTTAGGAGAAAATCTGAACACGTCTATACATTCAACATTTTCAACTACTGCTTGTTATCGCATGAATACATCTTTGGTCAAGAAAATGAAATAAATATGTTATCATTCATACACCCTCACTGCTCTGATGATTACATTTTTACTGGATTTACATTTACGAGTTTTGAGCTCCATATCAAAGATCACTGACAACTATTTAAGTTCTTTATTTTTATTTATTTAATCTGTTTAAAGAGTACTTTAAAGTTGTACTATTTTTGCAGCCTATGTTGAAAAAAAAGCTCAAAGCACTTTATTTATAAATTTTTATTTATATTGTTCTAATATTCATTTAATGCAAATTGTGCATAGGAGTTGCATTCTTGTAAGTTTTCACATTACAAACATCAAATTTATGGTAAATGAACATCTGCCCCAAATATTGATTACTGTTGTACTTGGTTTCTAATAAACCATATCGTCCCTGAAAATAACATATCACTTGACCCCTACATATCAGTTGACAGTATGGTGATCATTATGTATTATATAATACATAATGAACACTAGAATCTCTCGCAACCAAGTTACTTGCTCTTGGCCTGAACAGTAGAATAAACGGGAAACTTATGAGATGTAAGGTGAAACAGTGCTAAAAAGTGGTAATTGAGCCCACAGGTGGACTGAGAACAAGAATAATGTTCACTTTATTCTTTTTGGTTTTCTTACGATGTGCTTGTGAAATCACACAGCATTAAAATCATCATAAACAATCAGTCAGCTTTACCATTTTCTGGCTGGGTGGCTACAAGGAGTAACAAGGGAGGAAGAGGAATGACACAAATGCCTTGTACACTGCCCCTCTGTTCCATCCTTATTGCAAAGAAGTGTAATTTCTCCTTTTTTCTCTGATTTTGTGACATGGCTCTCTGTACTGAAATCAATAGTATAATAGGAAAAGAGGAGTAGGGAGAAGAACACTTCAAGATGTACAAGGACTGACTTTTGGCATGCCACAAAAAAGATGCTCCAAATGACTCTCATCATCTGAACTGACAGAATGAAACAGTCACTCTCTCATCTCGAACAGACTAAATATAATAAAAACACCACTGAATAAAACTTTTATGACAAACACACATGTTGATTTCTGATCACAAATGAACTGTTTTCAGGTGACTGTGTAATCTGATCCTCGTCAGAAGAACATTATGGCTGTAGATATTGCATTCTTTTGTAGCCCAACAGAGTGTGCTAAAAATAGCACTTTAAAAAGACAGCTAGATTTCAGATAATAATATATCAACACAGTTTTGCAATAACAATGTTGTTGATTCAGTAAGGTCAAGTAGTCAGAATTAATCATTATAACTCTGTATTGCTCTTTAATAGCAATGAAAAAGGATCGGTAGTACACTATATATACAGATGGGTGACAAATAGTTACAGAGGGGTTTGTGTTATTTAGACACCTCTGTGTATCTTTACACTTGCAGATCTTGCAAATAGGCTACTTAAGATTTAAAAGACATCTTGACATATTTAATTTCCACTGACCACATTGATACACAGTGAAACAGTGCAGCTATGCAATGGTTAAATTTAATGTTGCCCTGCATTCAGTAATTCATAATTAATGCACTGTAAAATAAGAGTTTTTCAGTTATTAACAAGATGTTGAATTTTAATTAAATACAAATGCACACTCTCGAGGACAGTATAATAGCTTCTCACTGTTTCTACTTCAACAAAAAAGGAGTTAGGATTAATCTTTAAAGTGAATATTGTGTAAAGTGAAAGATGTAAATATTGATATGACCTCACCTTATCTTCTTGGTCACTCTCACTGTCACACTAAAAAAAGAAAAACAGAAAAGCAACATTAGAAATGTATCAGTAGTTTACCATTACATCAGTAAACACAGAATACATCTGTTTCAGCTCAGATACAAAGTAATCTCCATATTACATCTTGCTGGACTGGACAATATCTCTGAATGAAAAACATAAATAAATAATAATATGAAAATGCTGAAATTCAGTATTGCTCCATAATTTAAATTTCAAGGTCCACTTAAAATACAGCCCTGGGGTGGGTGAAGTCTGGTGTCTGTTGGACTGAGAGCAGAGAGAGAAAGAGAGGCGATTTTTCTGGCACTCTATTCCCAGGACTGACCCCAGCAGGGCCCAGTGAACTCAGCAGGGAAGAGCATCCAATTTACAGCTATGGACCAGAGGAGCTCCAGAGGGCCTTCACTGTGAAGAGAGTCAGTAAGTAGGGGAAAATATACATGACCCTCTTATAATACAGGAGCAATAAACAGAAAACACACATATCCACACACACACACACACAAATATATAACATATTGTACAAACACTCAAGACAGTTCATATAATTCAGCACTGTTCACACATTCTTATATGCTTTTACAAGCTTCCTGCTTACCAATTGCTTTGACTGTGTAAAGACTTGCTCTTGCTTGTGAAGCAAATGGAACGCGCTAATAGAACTCATCGCATTACCCAATGCAAAGATGCCATAGCTCATTACTTTAGGATAAAAGGATATTATTGAAGACGGGGAGCAGAATTGACTTTCTGTAGCGTGACTCTTTGATTTAATCAACTGCTCTCTATTCACTTCTCATTCTCATGCCTGTCACTAACACAGGTGCTGCTAAGCAAGACTCTCACATATACCAGTAATGAGAGAAAGGAAAAAGAAATTGCAATCATTACTTTTCTTTTTTCCTCCATCTTGCCTTTCCAAAAAGAGAGACATGCAAATTTGCACAGAATGCATAGAGTTGACTATCAGACATGGGGAGGGACAAAGCAGACCAGAGAGACAGGCTACAAGCAAAAAAGAGTTGAAAGATATGAAAGACAACTGATAATTCTAAGAGTAAATATAAATGGTGGGATTAGAAATTCATCCAAATGTATGTGCTATTACTTCTTACAGATTCAGGTTGGAAATAACCCAGAGATGCTACCCCTAAAATGCCCATAATAAATTATACCACTCAGGTTCTGGGTTATTTGTTTCCATTACACCAGATTCCAACAAAGACATAATTTCACAATGGATTAAAGTGTAATGCAAAAAGTTTGGCTGAGAGAAATAAAAGGAAACCCCTTGTTTAGCATCACTGTACATTCCTCCATCAGATACTTCCCTTGCAAGTAGCAGAGCATTTAATAAATGTGCAACAAAAATTCTATAATAATAGTAAAGGGGCAGACTGGTCTTGTGCAAAAATCAAGCCTCTGGTACTAGAGACCAATGCGCAAAAAGGCACAACAAAGAATAAACAAATGGAAAGGGAACTGAAATAACTTAAAACACTCTCCACAAATGAGAAACTTACAGAGGTACCCCAAGGTGGATTAGAACCACAAAACTACATGGTTCCAAACCAGAACCCAAAAACCCAACAAAGGAGCATCAGGGAAAAGAGACTTGAGAGAGCAGAGAAGTAACTTAAAACTTTCTTTCCATTTTTTTCTAAACAACAAACTTAGAAATAGGAAGGAAGAGATTTGAGAATCCAGAAAGATCTCAAGGAGCAAGGTCCTTATAACTTTGTATGGAAATAAAGTAGCTTGAGAGGTCAAGAAACCCAAGAGAAAACTTGAGGGAGATACCAATTATCGGCCAGTCTTGTGTCAAAACTCTGAACTCAAGACTAAGCAGTGAGCAGTGAAAACACTCTCCTTAAATAATAGAGCCACAGGTTACTTAATTTGCCTCTTGATTATGGGGAGGGTGCTCTTTGCCTCCCAGTGTTAGCTAGACTTGGCCTATCCAATGGTCCAGCCTCAGGCCAGTACATTACAGTACCCCTCCCCAAGGAACGGATTCTGAAGTTCCTAAACCAGCTGCGTGATCCTGTCTGAAAACCCTGATGAGCTCTTAAAGGCCCCGCATAACGCAGAGGAAGCTTGTGAAATTCAAGCCATAATGGCAGGTCCTTGGCGGACAACCAAACCCATTGTCCAAGATGGAATGTGAGCCAAGGTGACCTGTCGCAAATAGCAACCCACTTGCAGGCCTCAGACGCAGCCAGAAGAGCAATGTGGTCTTTCTGCCAAACCTGCCAGCAGTGCTGAACCATGTGCTTAGCTGCAGGGACCCCTGAATCTGCTTCCTGCTATGGGAACATAGGAAGAGGATACCTAAACTGGCCCAACGACGTACTAGAGGGTGTTGTTAGCATTCTCTGCCTAGAGCAGGTGCTAAGCCAAGGAAGAAGGTTTGGCAGAAGAAAGATACCTGGAGGGTCTGCTTCAGGTCTTGAATTACCCTTTCCATCTGACCATTAGACTGGGGTTGAAAGTCTGATGACAAACTGGCAGACAAGGTGCGAAATACAAAATTAATCTCTTGGACCCCCTGAATGTCTCAAAATCAAAATCCTAGGAGGTCCCTGAAAATAAACTTACTATTAAGTTATGCTATTCATTAAGGAAAAATAGATACTCAAATGCAAATTCAGGGAAAGGTCTTTATTTATCCTACTTCACAACTGGTAAGCTTCTGTCTTTAATATTTTTAACTAACTATGCAGCACTGGGGCGGCATAGTGGTGCAGTGTGTAAGGCTGTCGCCTCACAGCGCCTCCCCAGCCAGGGGACCGGGGTCCATTCTGTGTGGAGTTTGCATGTTCTTCCTGTGTCTGTGTGGGTTTCCTCCCACAGTCCAAAGACATGCAATCAGGCAAAATTGTAGATGCAAAATTCCCCCTAGGTGTGAATGTGTGTGAATATATGTGTCTTTGTGTACATGTGATGTTTCCTGCATTCTGCACAATGACTGCTGAGATAGCCCCACCCCTCACGATCCAGGAGGATAAGCAGCTTAGATAATGTGTGTACGCATGTGTGTGTGTATGCAGCATTGGTTTGCCTCAGGGTGGTGCTATAACAAAGTAAATTCACACTGTTGGTCCTTCATAGCCTAGCAACTAACTATACAACGCGCTACTAAGGTGAGTAAGTTAGTAGTTAGCCAAAGCTGGAGTAGCCAGCCAACATGGGACCCCTCAAATACCAAGGCGTATTTCGCACACTGCTGGCAGAGACACATTGCAGTAGACAGAAAGCATTCCAGACGCTGCTGATAAATTGGGGTGGGGTCCCCAGTCCAACACTAGATCTTTTTATTTTATCTTTCCGAATTCCCAGTACCTGGAAAACAGCTCCTGTTATTCCACTGCACAAAGGAGGCAAGGTGGCAGACCTAAATAACTACAGACAAATCTCAAAACTGTCTTGTTTAGCTAAACTTTTAGAATCTTTAGTGAGGAGCCAACGCAACTCATTTCTTTATGAAAACTCTATCCTGTTTAATTTTTAATCTGGCTTTGGAGAAAGACATATCATCTCTGTGACCACATTGATTTTAAATGATCATTACATGGCCTTAGACTGAAAGAAGCACAGACTGCTGCCATTTTCATTGATTTCATAAAAGCTTTTGACACTGTTGATGTCTTCTTTTGGGATACTTACAAATAATAGGTTCTAACAATAAGCAAAGGAATGGGCCCAAAATTAAGCAGTGGCATTGGGTGACCACTAATGTAGATTTAATTTCTGTAACCAAAGGAGTCCTCAAGGCTCAATTCTGAGCCTTAGACTGCAAAGTGCACTTGTATGCAGATGACATGCTCTATACAGACAAATCTGCTCATGCAACAATAGAAAAATTCCAGTGCTCATTTAATGCTCTGTACAGGCACAATCTAATTTTAAATGCCAATAAAACCAAGTTTTCCGGATCTTCAAATGTTGTTTTTAATACTGTGAATTTACTACTTTGATAGCATCCAGCATTGAGCAATGTATTTCTGAGTGAAAATAAAGGTTGATTAAATGAGATCCCTGGGAAAACCGCAGACCATAACCACACGCTGAAGTAGCCACATGGCGATTTCCTTGGCTGAGGGTAGTTTTGGCAGGGCTACAAACATATACGCCTTTGAAAACCAGTCCACAATCACCACAATCACCTGGGAGGGCAACCCAGTGAAAAAATCGAGGGGAAAGGTGAGACCAGAGGTGTGAGGGTATATGCAAGGTTTTAAGCAGACCTGCTGGTCAACTCCTAGGGTCTTTGTTTTGGGAACAGACCAGGCAGAGAGCTACAAAGGCCCAGACATCTTTATCTAAGTGACTCCTGGATGACCTGTAAATGGGATGCATGTTCCCACTGCAGAGCCTGCGCCTGCATGGTGAGGGGACATAAGGTTTTCAGGGGGTACACCCTCAAGGATCTGGCTCCTGCCTGGGAGCTTCTTCCAAAATCCAGCGCGGTGGGGTCAGTATCCACGGCCCTGGGAGGACAGGCTCAGAGAGTCCCACTACCTGGAGAGGGCATCGGGCTTCGTGTTCTTCAAGGCAAGTCAATATTAAACCTGTTGAAGAACAAGGCCCATCTGGCCTGGAGGGGATTAAGACGGTCGGTGTCCTGGATGTAAGCCAGAAATTGATGTTCAGTTGATGTTCAGCCCCTCCAGCCAAAGCCTCCATTCCTCAAATTAACTTTCAAGAGCTCCTGGTTTCCAACGTCAGCCTGCGCTGAGGTGGAGTGGTACCTGGAATGAGATCAATTGCACAATCATTTGACCAGTAAGGAGGTAAGATTCAGGTCTTCCATTTACTAAAGACGTCCCAGAGGTTGTAATAGTCTGCAGGGACTTGAGAGAGATCTGGGCTATCTGAGTCAATAGCTGGGGGCCAGGGGAACCCCCTGTAACAGCTTTCTTTGGAGGACTTGGATGAAGAGGAGAGGAATCTGTTCAGTTTGTTGGTCCATGCACAGTGTAACAGGAAGGCGTATTGCGTTA